CCCCAGCCACTCACCTGGCTGTGCCTGGGGGGGCCTGGTGTGCAAGGCCCCCCGCTGGGTTCTCACCCCGGGGGCTGGGGAGGGGCTCACTAGTTTCGATTAATGAACACGTACCCTGATAATGAAGCTGAAAAGTCCCAACCACATCGTCTTGGAATGTCCGGAAGTAAACGGAAATAGTGTTGGTTGGGCTGCGAATCACCTGACCCTCCACCAAAAGTGTCTGATTGGCTAAGATCACCAAGTTGTCATCATCCACTCCACGAATGGCGAGCACCTCACCCTCTGACAGGTTCACACTCTTCACCTTAACAGCAGACAAACAACACACTGTGAGCTTTGCTCTGGCCTGGCGCTCGATGTACTAAGGCTCCCAGATCCCCTACACAATACGGACACCTCCCTTCTCGGCTGCTTAGCATGGTCCTGACTCCTGTTCTGCACTGACAGGGCCTTTCATCTGAGTAGCTCAAAGTGCTGCACCACGCCTGGCAAGTGTTATCCCCACTGCGGTGACCTGCCAAAGGAAGCTGCTGGCTGAGTCAGTAGTAGAACCCAGGTCCCCTGCCTCCCAGCTCCCTGATTGAACCCCTACCCCATTGTGCTTCTTACTTGGTCCGTGTCCTGCATGGAGAGCTGCCTCGGGGGGTATTGTGATTTACATGGCACCTGGAGTACATAGTGCTTTAGACATGTACACTCAGGCGGGAACTGGACCTTTGTGCCAACATGAATTTACTGCACTGTCAAATTATGCTGTTATTATCGAGATCATACTGGGGGAAAAAGAAGGTGGAGGGTACAGGGGTACTCTTCCAAGCTTCGCCCATGTGAGTAATCAGAATGGCAGTAGATTGTGGAGATGTTCAAAATAGGAAACTGCTGCTCCCCGAGTGCCACTGGAGCCCTTAATTGGGGAAAAATTAGTGATGGTACCTACCAACCTCCACCCACTTGTGGCTCCAAATGAATCATCACTCAGTGTCAATTGTGCACATCTGTGACCCTCCCTCTCTTTTCTTACCCGAAGAATGAAATAGTTAGTGACGTTGACCTTTAAATGATCATCACCATCATCATCATAAGCACCTAGGTAATAGGACTATAAATACTGTAGTGGCCAACATGGATTTGTCAAGATCAATCATGCCAAACCAATCTAATTTCCTTCGTTGACAGGGTTACTGGCCTAGTGGGCGGGGAGGGGGAGCAGTAGAGGTGATATAGCTTGATTTTTAGTATGGCTTTTGACAAGTGCCACATGACATTCTTAAGAGCCAACTAGGGAAATGTGGTCTAGATGAACCTACTATGAAGTGGGTGAAAAACTGGTTGAGAAACTGTACTCAAAGAGTAGTTATCAATGGTTCACTAGCAGACTGAGAGGGCGTCTCTAGGGGGTCCGTCCTGGGTCTGGTACTATTCAATATTTTCATTAATGACTTGGGTAATGGACTGGAGAGTGTGCTTATAAAATCTATGGATGACACCAAGCTGGGAAGGTCTGAAAGTTCTTTGGAAGACAGGATTCGAATCAAAAATGACCTTGAAAAATTGGAGAATTGGTCTGAAATCAACAAGATGAAATTCAGTACAGACAAGTGCAAAGTGCTAGACTTAGGAAGAAAAAAAATCAAACAGACAACTACAAAATGGGGACTCCCTCGCTAGACGGTATAGTACTGCTGAAAAGGACCTGGGGGTTAGAATGAATCACAAATTGAAGATGAGTCGACAGTGTGATGCATTTGCAAAAAAGGCTAGTATCATTCTGGGGAGGATTAACAGGAGTGCTGTATGTGAGACACAGGAAGTAATAGTTCTGCTTTACTCGGCATTGGTGAGACCTCACTGGGCACTGTGTCCAGTTCTGGGCACCGCACTTGAAGAAAGACATGGACACATTGGAGGGAGTCCAGAGGAGAACAACAAAAATGATCAAAGGCTTAGAAACCCTGACCTGTGAGGGAAAGTTAAAAAGAACTGGGCATGGTTAGTGTTGAGAAGAGAAGACAGAGGGGGAACCTGATAACAGTCTTCAAATACATTAAGTCCTGTTATAAAGAGGAGAGTGATCAATTGTTCTCCATGTCCATGAAGGTGGAACAAGAAGTTAATCTGCAGCAAGGGAGATTTAGGTTAGATATTAGGAAAATCTTTCTAACTATAAGGACAG